CCAGAGGTGCTGTCCTGGGCTCAGTGAATGCTCTGTGGTCTAAGCTGGCTCCTGTCTCCCTTGGCAGCCCGCAAGCTGCAGCAGCAGCGAGCCCTCCTGCTGGAGGAGGAAGCTGAGGAGGAAGAGGAGGAGGAAGAGGGGAGGCAGGTGCCTGAGGCTGTGCAGTCCAGCGTCATCATCGAGGGCGTGGAGTACAAGGTGGAGAGGCTGAATGGAAGGAGCAGCCAGGCTCCAGCAGCTCGGTAAGAGCACACAGGCACATCCCAGAGCTTGCCAGGAGTTCTCAGGGAAGGTTTCTTCACCATGGGAAAGGCCAGGCTTTCCAGCTGGCTCTTTTCAGGGAGCAGCTCCTCCAGCTGTGCCCGAGGGGATGTAGAGAGGGTGATTTTTAGAGACAGATGCTTCAAGGTAAGCTGAATGATAAAGTGACACTAAAACAAGTTTGGGGGTTTTTTTAGGCTTTTGGCCTCCAGGTTACCTTGATGGTTTTTTCCTAATTCTTGGGCATAGAACTGAGGAATGAGAACAGGGTTCTCAAAGGCTCCAGATAAACTAGGAATGCACTAAAGCTGAAGCTGTTCTTGTCTGTCTTTGAAGTCTTTGGGACAGACATTCTCCTCTCCACAGTCCCTTTTCAGTCCCAGTGCAGAACACACCCTGGCAGGTGGAATCTCATTTCTCTGTTGTTTCTGCCCAGTCTCAGTTGAGGAATTTCTCACGTAGTGATGCCTTGAGACTTTTCCTTGCCCCTGCTGTGCTGAGGCAGCTCCAAGGAGGAGAGCAGTCACACACAGCTGCCCGGTTGTCTGGGAAGTGCCATTACCTCTCCTGGTTTCATCCTGAAACACGGCATGCTGAAGAGCAGGAAGATGCATCCAGCACATGACTTTCAGTTGTTTATTTCTTATGCTTGAATGCAGGGGAGGCAGTGGAAGAAAGTGAAGTTGTGTTTCTTGAAATAATCTTTCTCATGCTGAAAGAGAAACTTCAATTAATTAAAGACAAAATGTAATTAATTTCAGTTGATTTAATTAATTGAGTAATTAATTTTAGTTAATTAAATTACTTGATTAAAATAAACTTGAGCAGTAAAAATCAGGGCTGAGTGTCACTATAAACTGAACACTCCCAGCTCTCCCAGCCAGGTTCCAGCCCTCAGAGCAGCTCCATAGCCCATCTTGTGGAAGAACTTGTAATAATCAAATTAATCTGCTAATGAAGGTATAAAATCAGGATCAGGTGATTAGTGCTTCCAAGGTGAATCTTTCTTGGGCCCTTCTGTTTGGAATTTGTGCCACATCTAACAAAGCCAAGTGTGAGGTCCAAGTTCCCAGGACTGAAGGGTAAGATCCAGAGGAAAAGAAAGCCCAACCAATATTTTTATTAGAAAAATTGAGGTGTGTGTATGTTGGTGGCTGCTGACCTCCAGTGCAGGAAATGAGCTCTGATATTTATGTGGACATTCAGAATCCCCCAGAACGTTCACCTGAGTGCTCACCTGGAGCAGTTGTTGCTTTCCCAGGGCCTGTCCCAGCCTTTGCTGGCTGTGCACTCTGTGCTGCTGCAGCTCACTGGGGCTTTTTTCTTTCCCAGGCCCTTGGAGCTCAGTGAGAACAGCAGCTCGCAGAGGAATTCCCTGGAGGAGGGGATCAGGTCTGAGCAGAGAACCAACTCCATGGCAGGGTGAGTGGGGAGCTGGGGCAGGGGCTGGATAATTCCTCCTTTTTTAGCCAGGAAGGATTTGGGGGAGGAAGGGAAGCTGATCAGAACCACATTCATGGAATGCCAGGATGGGTTGGGTTGGAGGGACCTTGGAGTCCATCAGATTTCACCCCCCTGCCCTTGGGGGGCTCCCAGGACAGCCCCAGCCCCAGAAACTCCTTACGAGAATCTTGGCTGTGCTCTGTGCCCTCGCCATGGCACAGCAGCCCCGGGGATGGCACTGAGCAGGTGAGCTGGCACCGCAGGCAGGTGAGCTGGCAC